TCATCTAGCCTAGTTTAAACCCATTTCAGACCTAATTCTAGCCTGGGAAGGCTTCCTCAGAATAGTCTCATTTAGACTTATGATTTCCCTTTACCACAGCTTCAAACCTCTGGTACCACATTAGGACCCTATCTCTCCGCCTCCTCAATAGAGTATATAAGGGAAGTGTGCTAGAAAGTCAGACTGGTTTGCTTTGATTTATACACCACAGCTCTCTGGTTAGTTAATTCCCGGCCTAATCAAGATCACCTGACAATGGATAATCCTTAAAAGTGAAGAAGCATAAGGGAACCACTGGGAAGATGTGGGGTAGGGAAGGAATTCTGGTTTTAAGCTTCATGTGGTAGAGAACTATACACTTAGTAAAATATCAATTTTACTTAAAAGAATTGGCCCAAACACATGCTCATATTTATGCACATAAAAAAGATCTGAAGAAAATGCAAATTGTGGTTATTAATAGATAATAGAATAGAAATTTTTTAAAAAAAATCTTATTCATACTTTATTATATATTTCAGATTTCAGAAAAAAATGTATATCATGTAACACCCCCACCAACATTTCAGGGATGAGGAAGGAAGGCATGAAACTGACCAGTCCTGAAACTATAGAAGGGCCTGACTTGTCTTCGCCAATCTCTCCTTTTCCCCTACAATGAGTCTGGGGAAAGAGGAGGGGCCATTCAGAGAGTCATAGGACATTTCAATAACTTTATTAATACATGTACTCCAGTGGTCATGAGGGCACATATTGTTTCACATATTTCTTGAACTATTTAGGGGCAGAAAAGTTATTACAATAGCTTTAAGGAGGGGCTTTTCTTCCACATTTCTTTTTTTAATATCGCATTTTTCTACCTTTACAGAGCCCTGAACCTTCTCCCATGTTATTTTTAGTCATCCTTTCAGGGGGAAAAAATGCCAATCAAGGCTTCTGAGATGTCAGATTTTCATAAAGAGAATGCAAAGCAGAGCTCCCAGTAATCCTCATAAAACATGGGATTTATGCAAGACCTTTCATCTTCATCCATATAAAATGTTCTCTGCTAGGCAACTGAGAGTGGATGGGAAGGCCTTACTTTAAGGACTGGATACAGTGGCTCAAATGTTGCTTCAGCTCTTCTTCCTTTTCATAGGACTCCAGTACACCATGTGCTTCATCATGGTGATAGCAGTAGACTTTATAAATATCTTCCAGTGGTCCTTTAATCTGCAAGAATACCTCTCCTGAAAAATGCAAAACAAAAGCAAAATGACATCAAGTCACATCGAACTTGCACTTCACATGTTTATTATTTAACAATGTTGACTAGATTCAAAAAGTTGGATGGATCCCACTTTATCCCCCAGATTATTCAGGAGGGATGAAAGATTTGAATGATTTTTTTCACTCTCTTTTTTCTTTTCTTTCTTTCCTTTTTCCTTACCTCTCTCCTTTCCTTCTTCCCTCCTTTTCTTCCTTCCTTCCTCCCTTTCCTAAAGATGAAGAGTTTAACAGAGAAAGGCAGCAAAAGAAAGCTGGTTTCTCAAAGGTGACACCAGGTTGGTGTACAGGATCATGGGTAAGAGCAGAAGTTTAGAGTTTAAATACCTTTGAATCAGGCTGTGCTGCAGACTGGCTTTGTGACTCAAGCAAGCTATTTTAACTCTCTGAACCAGGTTCCTCATCTACAAAATGGTGACAATAATAGATTTCATAGGATCATTATAAGAATTAAAAAAGGGAGTGTGAGTATAGTATAGAATATACATAGTAAATTCTCAAAATGGAGTTTTTGTTAACTTACTCGAGGTATAGGAGGTATTATTTCGGATGCTAAGTTATTTTTCAATTAATAATTCCACTAACATTTCCTGAGACTCTCTAAAAGGCAAGNGTTGCTCAATAATTATCACTTGTCTCTTAAAGCGGCTTTACTATATCTCTGGAATTAAAACACCAGTACTTTTAAAATACCACATTTTTTCCAAATTATATCCAGCCAATAGAAAACTTTCTTTTCCTGTTCATTACATGGGATTTTCCTGTGACTACAGTTAGATTCTGAGGTAATGTGATGCATGTGTGTGTGTTCAGGTTGTTTGGTTTTTGGTGGCTGGCTGGTACAGAGATCAAACGCTGGGCCTTGGTGTTATCAGCACCACGCTCTAACCAACTGAGCTAACCAGTCGGCCTGACTGCTTGTTTTAACAGTGCTTTTTTGAGGCCTGTAAGGAAACTCAATGATTGTATCTTTGGAACTGAAAGGATCTGGGGTTCTTGTTTTGTTTCTGGGATTTTACTGAGTTGATCCTTCTACCAGTGCAGGTTTTGTGGGTTTGCTCTTCAAGACAGCGACACAAACAGTAAGAAATAGAGTAGTTAATAAAAAGAGAAAATAAAACAACAGTGGCTGAATTTAGGGTTGGTC